CCAGGTCTCTAGGCGTATTTATATATAGTATTGTATAGTTAGGAGCCCTGATGTGGCACTGTAAGATAAGCATTCAACAGCCAGGTCAGTTTGAACCAAAAGGTCAGCAAATCAAACTCATGAGCCAGTCCTCAGAAACCCTATGCAGGGTTGCTATGAGTTGGAACAACATTGCCAATTAAGAGCGTTGTTGTATAACATTGTGTCTTGCTAATTTATAGAGATTTTAATTATTTTTAGTTACTTATTTATATCCTCGCTACTACATATGTTTCAAGGCCAAGATTATTAGAAATTATGGGAATTGTTTAAAGAAGTATGAATGCTCTGCTGATTCATAGAGATTTGATTGACACAGAATATAGGCTCACAGCCCAATTTATGTAAATAATTTATAACATATTTTATCTAGTTCCAAGGTTAAAACAACTTTTCAATGACTTATGGTTAAAACTGTTACAGAAATAGACATGTTTCCATGCCTAAATTCAGAAATTCTCTATTTCCAATTACCCATTTTGAGTGACTTATTTAAAAATATTTTTTTTAAATCACTACAGTGTAAAAATCATCATCAAATCACATGAATCAATAGTGATTCATGTGATTTAAGAATTTTATGAAGTATCCATAACAGTAAATTTCAAAAGCAAATGTCCATCAGCAAGTGGATAAATTAATAAAATGAGCCATCCACAGAGTGATGGACTTGCTGTTAAGTGCCCTCGAGTCAGTTCAGATTCACAACGATCCAGGCTAGGGTTTCCAAGGAGCAGCTGGTGAGAACTTCAAATCAGCCTTGGAGTACTACTACTCAGCAACAAAAAGGAATAATCAACAAACTGCTGCTACCCTGATAAACCTCTAAAATGTTAGGCTGAGTGAAAAACACTACAACCAAAAGAGTAGTACTGTATGATTAATTTCATGTAAAATACAAATGAGTCTATAGTGAGAATCAAAAACCAGAATTTTCCAGTGACAGAGAGAGTGATGAACTTGAAAGAGGAATTAAACACCTTTTGGGTTCATGGGATTGTTCTATATTGTGGTTGTGGTGTTGATTTCATGAGTGTGTACATGTGTAATGCTAAGAGTTTATCCATTGTAGATGAAGATTACTATGTGTAAATGATTCTTCAATACAGTTGCTAAGGAAAAAGATGGCAGCACATTTGAAATAAACTCTACATGTCTTCTGAAGTTTGGTTGGTAGTCTGGTGTCTAGTTTGTATGCGTTTAAAGGTTTTGAAAACGTTTGGAATTGTGTCAGTTAAAGGGTTACAACTATTATGATGTTGGAAAGCTTGGAGAGAGTGTCAAAGCTAACACAACAGGGGAGTCATTTCTTCATTGACCTCCAGTCCAAGAAATTAGGGTACATCTAACCTTGTTGTCCATTCATGCCATGGACCAGATGTGAGATTTAACATTGGCTGAGTTTCCCCTTCAACATTTGAAAATTACACACAGATTATTGTGATTTGAAATGCATTCAAATAAATCTTTTTGCAATTATAATGAGACCCAAAGCCCAGAAATTTGAAATACAAGAATCATTTCTCATGTAGCCATGTGGATTGTAGCTATAACTGTTGTCTTCTTAATTATATATACACTTTTGCTTCTGAAACTGCCAAGTCAGTTTCCTTACAAGGTTCACTGGTGACCAGGTACAGGACTGGCCCACAAAACTTTCCTAGGCCATTGGAAGTGGGTAGCTATTTTCAATTTGGTGAGCTACACAAATCTATAGGTCTTAATTATACTCCCTAAATTTCCTTTGGGTTTGAGAGTCAAATGAACTCCCAGATCTCAAGCCAAAAAACCAAAACCAAAAATAGACTTCCTTTTCTGATTCTATAGAACAGTATCTGGGTCTTCATCCTGTATTTCACTCCTTTGAATGTGACTTGAAGTCCACAGGTACAATACCTTGGGGATCTAAGATTCACATGCAGATTGCTCAAGATCAGTTGTTGTTGTTGTTAAGTGCCATTGAGTCGGGTCCGACCCATAGCGACCCTGTACAGGGTTTCCAAGGGTGTAAATCTTTCAGAGAGGAGGTAAAATTAAACAAATAAACACACCGAGTTGAATTAAAACCACTAAGTTTCTTTTTGGTTTATTTGGAAGCCACAAATCATTATATATAATATACATAGAGCTCTGGTAGCATAGTGGTTACGAATCAGGCTGTGAACCGCAAGGTCAACAGTTCGAAACTACCAGCTGCTCCG